TTCTATTAATACATTTTGAATTGCTGTTTTTGCTCTTTCTTGATGTTTTGCAAATTTTTTCGTTCCTTAAACTAAAAAAAACGATGAAAGGAACCCGATTTACATAAATAAATTCAGACGTTCAAAATAGGTGATAATAAGAAGACTGACTATATCCGAACTCCAAAGGTAACTTATTTCCTAGAATTTTCGCAAACATTGATAAAAGTGTATTTTCTATGGAGTTTACTTTGAAGAATGATAAAGAACATTTGTATTAATTAAGTGATGTTTATTTTCTCATAACATTCACCGAACTTTATTGCTATATCACGTACATATATAGGTATTCCTTTTATACCACGTCAACAAAAACACTTCGTCATCTTTGAACGTTTGCCATTAAGTCGCTTTTATAAAAAGTATCCAGTATTTTAAAAACAGAGATGAATTAACAGACTGTACACTAATTAATTATAAATTGTGTTTATAAAATGAGTTAGAGGATTCATATATAATTTAACTTATAATGAGTTTTATGCGTTAGCAAAAGATATGTTACAAACACAAGACTTAATAATAATGCATAGTTTTTTAATTATATAGTATATATTTTACATGTTTTAACGATGAATATAAATAATAATAAAATTTATATTCATTTTTAGTTAAAAAACAGTTTTTATCGCAAAAAATCAGTTTCTCAATTAAAGAAACTAGATTGCCTACTTCTAATAATAAATGAGACTGCAAAATTTATTTGCATCCTTAATCTCTTGATTACATAACATATATTACGCAGTATAAAAATACTACTATAAATCCTGTTTACAAGACATGTAAGCACATTTATGAAATTTTATAATAATGTATGTAACTTATAATGCGTTAACGAAAGATGTTACCGATATAAGACTTAATAATAAATAATTTTTTAATTATTATGCATCAAAGGTATTATGCATCACCTCGAATATGGCGGCTGCTATTTCACCATCGTGAACGTCTCAAATTGTAAATAGGAATATGATTGGTACCATTTTCCTAATTTCACTAATTTTAGAATAAGCACTTGATTGGTTGTTCTGTTACCATTATGCGTAATGGAATACTTTATAGCATGTTGAATTACACACAAACGCGCGCACACGCACACACGCACACACGCACGCACGCACACACATCCTTTATCTACAAAGAAATGCGACGCAAATAATCGGACATTGTAGTACTCAACAGTAACTGATGCGCTAATAGCCAAAGCAAATTTTGCTGTATTTACTCTTTAGAAAATATGTACAAGTGTTGAAATGTTGAATATTGATTTATAATAAAAATGACGTTTTAATCAATTTTTAATTCTTTTTATTCAATTTTATAATCTAAACATTAAGAACAACTTATTTTCTCTTCCCCAAGTTTTTTATCTCTCTTATTAGGGATATAGTAATTTTACTTATATTTACTGACATATAAAGACAGATTTACTGAACAGCCTTTTAAAAAAAGTTGCCAGATGGAAAAATATTTTTTATGATCATTTGCCATCGATTTCCGAAAGGTAAATTAAATAAAATCTGATAATATTGTATGTGTTCTTGCGACATTTAAATCCGGATTTTCGTCATAGAAAGCAGCTACGCGATTTGCTTTATGCCACAATCGCAACAATTAATAAAATCTAACTTCGAAAATTCGCTGCTACATAGCGTTAAAAATCTCATAGTGCGTACATGTAAGGTAAGATATAAATTTTTAGTGGAGACAATGAATTTTGGAACATAGCTGAAGCATAACCAATATTTAGTTTATTTTACTATATAACACAAATAATAAATAGCATATACTAATTTACAATTGATTATAGGCGTTTATAACGCTAATAGCAATACAAATGTAAATAATTTTATTAGTTGATCTAACATTTGATATTAATAATTTTATTGCTTATAATACTTATATATATATAGCGCACAAATTTCAGTGCACATTTCTATTAATCTTTATTGTATTCTATTAATTAATTTTTATTGTATTTTTAATAATTAATCTTTGTTGTATTTTATTAATAAATATTTTGAATATAAGGAATCTCTTATAATTATCTTTAATTATTAAATGTTGTTATTCATATGGAAAGAATTATCGAAAATTTCTGTTTATATAGTATAATTTTTCAACCAATAAACAAAGTATATCATTTTATAATTGATCGTCTCAATTTAATCAATCACTTTAAAATATATTTTTAGATTACAGTTTTACCTACAGAAATGTATAAGTAATATTTCATTCACAAAAGTTATTTGATTTTTTAGGATGCAAACAATAATAAAATCAATTCTTTTGAATCGTATAAAGATTATCGCCACTTTTTAAATGAAATTATAATGATATGATATAATTTTAATAGTATAATATGTTTTTTCTAATTAATCTACATATAAAATTATTAAGATAAAAGTATAAAAAAATAAGACTCAGCGAAAGAGAACAAGGAATACATTGACTAGGAGTAACGTAATCATAAATTCTAAATCGGAAGAGATAGATGACCATCTCCTCATTAATAACTGACTACTGACTTATGATTACCTTATAATACACGACAGACTCGCTTACAGCTAGCTTCCAACTTTTTACTTCTGACTTGTGACTTATTGTAGAACGCCTATCAAGGAAAAAGTCATGCAAATTAAATGCGTTGTATTTAACGTTTTTATTTTTTCCTTTTCTTGTTAGAAACCACTTTAATTATTAAAATCGATCGTTATAATCTTTTATTTGAATGATGTTAACGATTGTCCGCAAGATTAGACATCTTTTATTTAATAACTTTCATCAACACTAATAATATATTACGTATTATACAATTGTCAAAGATAATTTCAAAATAAAATTATATTTCAGAGAAAAAGTTGGGATGGCGTAGTTGATTAATAATACAATATATAACATGGTTATTTTATTTGTGTCGTAAGTAATGTAGACGTACAACTATTCGTGTGATATTTTATTGTACTCATGTGACATATATATTGATTTGTTCTTTGTCTTTTTTAGTTGTGCCTTATATCAGAGTAATAGTAAAAGCATACTGTAACTTGTTAATTCGTATAATGCTTTGGTATTCACATTATTTTCCTATATTTATGTGGATAAAATTTGGGAAAAATAATGTTCGGCTCAATCTATATCCTAAATATTAATAACTTCGATCTTACCAACAATTTATTACATTTACATAAATAAAACAAATTACTTTTAAAATATTTTAACATATTATTACGTATTATATGGTATAAGAATATAAGATATTCGATTTCTGAGGATGTTATCTTGAATATGGTAGCTACTCTTTGACCAATCAAAACATTGTCCCACATTGTAAAAAGGAACATGATTGGTACCATATATATTTCACTAATTTTCAGGCAAGTATTTATTTGGTTGTTCTATTTAGTCTGTTACTATTATGCGCAATGAAATACCTTATGCCATGTTTGATTACATATATATGCCACCGAAAAAATTGTATTCTTTATTTTAGAATATCCTACTTACACATAATACGTTTTTCTCTAAAATAAGCGCTACGATCTCCTTAATTTAAAAGGAATATCATCTAAAAATTATTAAACGACACCATCAAGTAGATATCTCTTGGACAGTACACTTTAGAAAAAAATGTTTTGGACAAAAGTTGGTTTTAAGGGAAAAAAATAAATAAAACAATAATAATAATAACAAGACTAATAATTGCAAAAACTTAATTTCTTAAAATTATATGAAAATAATCGCCATGTTTTAAATAGAATTATATAATAATATCTTTTTGCTTAATATGATTTCTTTAATTATTTAAAAATAACATATTCAACTTTAGTATATATGTATATGTATACACTGTTAAAAAACATATGAAACTTCATGTAATAAATGTAACGGAAGTAAATTTCAAGCAGGTACATTAAAATCGTTTACTTTACATGAAATTTAGTGTATATATTTTTAACAGTGTATATGTTACTGATAACGTCGACCTTATATTGAATGATTCACGGTCTTAATCATGCGGATATAAGCACATGCTTGCGCCGCTTGGTAAGCGAAAGACTGCTTTTAGTGAGCGCGATGCAGCATAAATAACTAATAAGCATCATTAACAACAACGTGAAGCGAGCGTGACGATCGCCTTCACAAATCAAAAATATATTCTTAATTCAAGAGAACATATTCTTATAATATATCTGTTAAGAAGAAATAATAAGTTTACATTTTTCAAGAATACAATTTTTTCGATTTGTTTTAATCCTTCAATTGCGATGCAAAACGCAACTATAGTACCCGACAGCAACTGATGCTAATAGCCAGAGCAATTTTCTGTCAGTATCTACTCTTTAAAGAATATGTACTAGTTGTTGTACAACAAAATATTAACAATGAAAATATAGTGCATGAATTACTGCACAAATTCCTATTTGGCCTTATTGTATTATATTAATTAACATTTTGAAATAAGGAATCATAATTATTTTTTAATTGTTAAATATTGTTATTCATATGGAAAATATTACATCAAAAATTACTCTTTATATAATTTTTAAACAAATATATAAAGTATCTGATTTTCATCGAACACTTTCAAATATTTTCTTAGATTTTAGTATTATTTGCAATAAAATATATTTTATTAAAAAGTTGTATGATTTACAGGACGCAAATAATAGTAAAATCAGTTTTTAAAAAATCAATTTTTTAAAAATCATTATGAAGTCATTTTTTTCGTCATTTTTTAAATAAAATTGTATAATTTTAATAACATAATATGATTCCTCTAATTATTTTGTATGTAAAAGTATTGAGGTGGAAGTAGCGAAAACATATGTTCAACGAAAAGAACAAACTGTATAATAGGAGTAACATGCTATACCTGCTATCGTGCAAAAAGAGGAGTAAATGCCAGTGAAGGTCGTAGAACGTCGCGAATTCTTCAGTATCAAGTTGTTCGCTGAGCAAGAATACACGCGCTGCTCTGATCTGCAATTTACACTCGTAGATTGTACTTTCGACGTAGTAGCACTGTAAAATATTTTGTTGATTGCAACTTTCAATAAAAATACACAAAGTAGTGAAATGAGGAAGAAACATATTGATGATGGTAAAGCAAGATTTTATTTTTAATGAAACATTTGTTAAGTGTAGGAATAATAATTTTTAAAGGACGCAGTAGTTCTCAGAATTTCAAGAAATAAATCTCATTGTTATAATAGAAAAATGTGTGTTAAAAAATATCAATTAAATCGAATATAATTTCAATTATCATAGTGATAGAAATATTACGCGTTATACAAGTGAGTGCATCAATAGTGCCTAATATTGAAATATTATCCGAATTGAAAATATTTCATCGATTTTTGTTCATTCTGTTCTAAGTAAATTAAATCAAATATCGATAAAATTAATATAATCTTCTAAAATGTATGTGTAATCGCAAAAAAGTGATAGTTGAACGTGCATTGGAATTTTGCACCGCTATTATAGCAAATAAATACATATAATCTTTGGACATGCCTCACTTAAACCTTGTACCACATATCATAGAAGTTGTATTACGTAGATATTAGATTATTAATATTGTTATTATAATTAGATATAATTATTATTATAATTACTCTCTAAAAGTAAATCAGTGTATTATCACTGACTTCAGTGCTATACTTATAACTGTAATATTAGCGAATATTTACTGTTTTTCAGTAATAATATACTGATTCATTTTGAGAAATTATGATTTATGACCTTGAAATCATA